GATTTTATATGTTTCGTTATTTAAAAAATATTAATGATGTATCCTCTATATGTTACTGACTTACTAATACTGGTATTTTCTTATTAATAACTTCCTCTTTCAATATTGGTAACCAGATCCTACTACATTCTGCCGAGGAATTTGCGACACAATTGGCCTCATTTAGCATAATTAGAGCCGCTTCTTTGATTTTTCTTTTTTTACCATCCGTTTCTTTTAGGACTACATTTGAATTATTCCATTGAACCCTATGTTCATTGTCCCATGCGTGTTTACATATTTGAGATCTATCAAATTCTCTATTTTTAATATAAGATTGATGTTCACTTATTCTAACATTTAATGGCCTTGATGTTTCACCTAAATAAAACTGATCGCATTCACAAGGTATTTTATAAATGCAATTCTTTGTCCTTTCTTGTTCATTGTTAGGTTTGGTTTTGGACAAAATAGATCTCAACGTGTTTGTTGTTTTGAATGTTGTTGAAATGTTGAATTTATTTCCTATCCTTTTAAGTTTTTCTGATAATCCTTTTATGTACGGTATTGTTATTTTCTCTCGTATTATTCCTTGTGTATGCTGTAGGATCTTGTTCTAAGTTGTTCTGTTCTATTCGATCGATTGTTGAAAATTCTTATTTATAAACGATAAAGGATAATCATTTTTTAATAAAACAGATGTTAACAAATGTTTCTCCTCCAAGAACGAATTTTCGTTAGAACAAGTAATTTTGGCTCTATCGTATAAGGATTTAATTATTCCCTTTTTTACATTAATATTGTGATTTGATTTGAAATTTAAATATCTATTGGTGTGTGTTGGTTTTCTATACACCTGAGTCTCATATCCAGTATCGTTCTTAGAGATTAAAACATCCAGGAAAGGTAGCGTGTTATTATATTCCTTTTCCATGGTAAATGTTATTGTCTCTTCTTTATCGTTTATATCATTTAGGAATGTGTCCAACAACTCTGATCCATGAGGCCATATTGAGAATACATCATCTACATACCTCCACCATACTGTGGGTTTTAAATTTTGTTTAGAAATGATATTTGTTTCAAAATCTTCCATAAATATATCGGCTAAGAATGGAGATAAACTAGAGCCCATTGCTAGACCAAAATTTTGTTTATAGAAGTCATTATTTAGTTGAAAATATGTATTATCAGTACATAATGTTAATAATCTCCATTATAGCCGATATGTTTAGTCTTGTTCTAGTTGACAATGAATCATCACTCTCTAATTTTGTCTTGACTATACTTAAAGTCTTATTTAATGGCACATTCGTAAATAAACTATATATGTCAAAACTTACCAAAGTATTATTTGAATTAAATTCAATATTTGATAATTTAGTTTAAAAAATGTTGTGTATTTTTTATGAATGTGTCATTTTTATTTGTAAATGGTTTTAAAATAGTTAATAAAAATTTTGATAGTTCACTACAAGGTTTTTTTTCCTGGTTTTTTCCTCATAATTTACTATGGAATCACTAACAGTAGAATTTTACTGTCATCATGTCATGTGTTTGTCCTTTTAAAGACGAATTACATGCTATGATTTTTTCTGACGGATATTTTCAAGTTAAAGTTGATTTCATGTAATCGAATGAACTATCTTATAAGTAAAGTCGTCCCAGGAGCGCAACTCAACAATATTGGCAATATCATTTTAAAGTCGTCTACTTTAAAATGCATAATGTATGTCTGAATTGTCAATATAAATGAGTCAGATAAAATTAAATTCAATGAAGGATTTTTCACTTTGTAACAAAAAATAAAAATTTGTTTAGTTTACTGTTTGTATTTTAAGAACGATTTCCGAAGTGGAAATTGGAACGTAAATAAACGTATTTTTATCTTTAATTGTGGCTTATTTCCAGTTAAATAGCAATTTATTTAAAATGCCACATGAAAATAGCTTCAGAACAATAATAAGCTTTTTAGTCAAATAAGTACTCAAAACGTTCTTCAAAGTAATTTATAAGCGAATTTATAACAAACAGAGAGAATGGGAGATACTCAGTTTAGTTTTAAAACCAAACTCCTATATTATTCTCCGATAGTTTGGGCAGTTTGCTTGTTTTCTTTTTTTGTATGCCAGTATTAAGACTTGGTCATTAAAAAAATGCAGTTTAAAAAGAATCGAGGCTTTCGAACTCTGGTTATACCGCAGAGCATTAAAAATATCATGGATTGAGAGGATTACAAATAAAGAAGTACTGGAGAGGGTTGGTAAAGAAACAGAACTAATCACCACTCTACAAACCAGAAAACTGGAATACCTAAGCCAAGTGATGAGGGGACCAAAATATGAAATTTGAGACTTATAACACAGGGAAAGATTCAAGGAAGAAGATCTGTTGGCCGAAGACAGAACTCATGGTTAAAGAATCTAAGTGATTGGTATCAATGCAAAACGTGTTATTTGTTTAGAGCAGCAAGTTCAAAAATAAAAATAGCCAATATGTTTGCCAACCTCCATGGGAAGATATCACTGTAAGAAGAAGAATTAAGACTGGTCTGTTCCAATATGTAGGCATTTCTTCTTTTCCCTGTATAATTTTTATGAGCTCATGTAATTCTTCAGCTGATTTTTCTCCTCAATATTAATAAATCCTGGGTTTATCCTATTTTCTTTCAAACTTTTCCAGTTTTTTAATATTTTATTTTTTTTTTAGAGATAGCAGAAGGACGTTTATTTTGCTAGTTCATTTTCTTTGGTATAATACTCATATTTATGTATATGTATTGTCTATATTAAGTACAACTTCCAAAAACAATTCTTTTATCTGTTTACAATTTGTTCCTCTTCTGCTGTTAATTCTACATTTTTGCTCTTTATATAAAAAAGTCATTTTCTCTTTGATTTGTTGTTATTGCAAAATGCTTGAAACAAATTTCTACTTTATTACTGTATAAATCGCGTTTTCTATTTTTTGTGTTTTTTTTTCTCGATAATGAATTTTCTTTTATTTTAATCTACAGGTACTTTTTACCATTTCTATTTTAAATTTATATTTATTCTCTTTCTTTCCTGTATTTGTTATCAAACCATCCTTTTTTTCCAAGGGTGGAAGTTTCTAAAAACCTGTATATATTTTTTTTATAATTAAAATATTAAATAATTTTAAATTTTTTTACCCCTGTTGCTGATACGCCCATGGTCATATTTTCAAATAGGTTGTTAAATTTTACGGGGACCTACCGAAATATCACGGGAATTTTTAGATTACGGAAGAATCTACTTATTCCGGTTCAAGGCGGGTTTCTGTATGGCACTTTGGCAATTGTCTCCTATTGTCAGATTCTGTAGGTTTCTTTGGCCTGTCGATTTGCTGGCCCTTATGTATTTGGTTTCTATTTCGTTAATGTTTAGGTCACTGTTTTGTGCCGCTCTCTCCATCGCAATAAATGCTTCTACCATCTCTCCTTCGCTTTTAGTTATGATAACAACATCATCTGCAAATGTTAATATTTGTACACTTTTTGTTGTTATTATTGTTCCTGTGGTGTTGCCTTTTGACTCTTTAATTATTTTCTCTAATGTAATGTTGAATAGAATACAGGATAGGGTACCTTCCTGTCGTAGGCCCATTCTTACATGGATTGTATCTGTTACTGCGTTTTGAATTCGAATTTTGCTTTGTACTTTAAGTGTTTCTTTTACTATATAAATGAGTTAGGTTGGAATATTTACCTCTTTTAATGCACGGATCAGAAATTTTCGATGGATGCTATTATAGGCACTCTCAAAATCAATGAAGAGATGATGTGTGTCTATATTAAATCCACTAGTCTTTTTCAAGATTTGCCTCAAGAAAAGATCTGATCTACTGTGGACTTTTGCCTGCAGAAAACGCATTTGATATCCTCCAACTATTTGTTCCGCATATGGTCTCAATCGGTAATACACAATATTTGACAGTATTTTATATGCCACATTTAGTAGCGTTATTGCTCGGTAGTTTTTACATTGAAGCTGATCTCCCTTTTCATGTAGTGGGATAATTACTCCGTTTTTTCAGTCTTGTGGCAATTGTTTATTATTTCATAATTGATGGATTCGACCGTTACTTGATGGAAATTCATTTTATTGTAACAATAAAACACTGAAAACTTTGTTTTCAAACTTTCACAAAATTTATTTTAACTTATCCCTACAGCTGTTTCGGCTGGTTGCCTTTCTCAAGTGATCTCTTTTTGGCATGCATTTACATTTTATAGTCTCTAAGGGAATAGGTTGAGAAGAGGAGAACTGTTTAATCACTTGGGGACTGGAGATCACTTCAGAATGGCAACCAGCCAAAACAGCTGTAGTGATAAGTTAAAATAAATGTTTGTGTAGTTTGAAAACAAAGTTTTTAGTGTTTTATTGTTTATTATTTCATTCTCATAATGATGTTTTCCTATTCCTACAGTTTTAAATCAAAGAGGTTTATCAAACATAAAATGAAAGTAATAATTTTATTTTTCAAAATAAATGTACCATAAATTTCAAAACAGTATTCATCCCTTTATGATATCGTCTAAAAATATTTACCATTTTACAGGAACACATAAGAAGAATAAAGAATCTTTCTGGACAAAATCTCTTAATCTTTTAAATCAAAGAGGTTTATCAAACATAAAATGAAAGTAATAATTTTATTTTTCAAAATAAATGTACCATAAATTTCAAAACAGTATTCATCCCTTTATGATATCGTCTAAAATATTTACCATTTTACAGGAACACATAAGAAGAATAAAGAATCTTTCTGGACAAAATCTCTATTTAGAACACGCCATTCATTATGTCCGGTGTGAGTATGTGGAATAACGCATCCCTGATTTTATATTTACAGGAAAAAGAGTAATTCAGGAAGGGATACGGAACCGGATATAGACAGTCATTCGTATTGAAAATTCGGATCAGGTCTGAAGCTCTCAGTATACATGTGTAGGTAAACTTGAACGCATTTACGCACGATTGCATTTTGAAGAATCTTACGCACGTAGGGAATATGTGCCTTTGAGCTTTTTGTTTGACTTGCCTAAAAATAGATTTGTAAACAAATTCATTAGATTTTAATTAAACTTCGATTCCGTTTGGCACTTGTCCACTTAAAGCGTATGAAACATGTTGATTCAAAAATGCTTTCGATTTTTTTGACTTTCATAATCCAATACAGAGTTTTAATTACTTTTAGTGGTCTTTAGTAGTGCCGCTACGCATGTGTCTTACAGTAAATTCACAGAAATAGAAACTTCATTGAGTCTGCAACATCATAATATACTTTTTTAATGTTACTAATATTTTTCTTTCTATTTCTGTTTTTACTATTTTAGCCCTTCGGAGGTAGCGGTCATAAAGTGTACTGTATAGATCGCGGTGTATCTCAGAGATACATTCGTTTAAGTTTAATGTTTCAATAAGATTAAAAAAGAACTGATCGGGATCGTATTTATTCGTAAACGTTTATTTTGAACATAACTAATCAAAAATAAGCGGATTTTAATTAATTTATTGTCAAGAGAAAATAAAATAAATGCAGATATTAAGAACATAACAAAATAAAAACATTTTAAAAAAAATGGCTGGTTATAGAGATCTTTATAAAATTCTCTGGCTATTTTCAAAACGTTTTGTTTATCTGTTGTTGCCTTTCCAGCTATATCTCTCAGATTGTATATTTCTTTTTTACTTTGTGTAAGTTTTCTTTTCATTATCTTTAAACCTTTGTTCTCTTCTACTCTTTCAGTAATTACATTAGTATTATATCTTCTTATATTTTTCTAATTTCCGCTGAAATTCTTTTATTTAGTTTTCTATATTCTTTTTTGTTTTCCTTTTCATTCTCGCTTAGGTTTCGTCGTATTTTCATGAGAGCTTTTGTATCTTTGCTAATCTTTTCACTTTTGGTGTCATTTTTGTTGGCAAAATTTGAGTTGTGCGTTTCTAACCAAGTCTGGACTCACATCGAAAAATATACCTGTTTAATTGGTACGTGGTTACAATTTTTGTTTTTGTTGCTAATAATATCAGAGTTGTGCTAATTGCTCATACTTATATTTATAACTTATTACATTTTTATTTATTTTTATGAACCAGATAATTTTTTAATATTTTCTTACATAAATAAGGGTATACAATAGTATACTGGTTGTGGTGGAGTGTCTGGTACTTTACTAAATACGTATACAGTTAAAAATATTAAATATCGGAAACCTTCTTTATTTAAAAAAATAAATAGACCAAACGTAAAATAAATACCATTTCACGGTATATTTTACTTATAACAACATCTAATTTAGTTAGCCGACCACTCATACTGTAATTTACATTTCATTAAATGGCAGAAATGGTGAGGTTATTATTTTAATTGAGTAGCGCAAAAATGTTAACTTTTGACATAATTTGTAATTCCGTTCGTTCAAAAAAGGGGTTATATTTTTTACTAGAATTCAAGGAATATTTTTAAGTACAAATACTTGTGAGTATTGTATAAATACAAAAAATTCCGTGAATTTTTGTCTTTTCTCTTCTGGCCTTCTGCTTAGGCTGTTTCTTTTTATGTCCCACATAAGGCACATTCATATAATAAATACAATTTGCACATTATAATAATAATAATACACAAAATGCATAGTCATAGTAATAGTCATAATCATACTTTATCGATCCTTTAAGACACTCAAAATAAATGTATAGGATACGTCACTACAGAATTTAGTATAAAAACATTAATGTGTATATCATTTTTCAAAGTAATATGATGTATACAAAGTTACATCACGGAACTGCTCGATCTTTCATAGGCGTCAACATGGTGTAATAATCAGAAAAATGTAATCACTATTATATTGGAAATTTTAGAATTATATTGATTAAATAAGCAAAATCATTTGTTATTATTAATAATATAAATTTTAGGAAATAACTCTTTTAAGTATAATATTCCACAAAATAATAATTTTTAATTAAATATATTAGACAATTGTACGCAAATGATACGGGAAATACTTTAAATTTTATTGACAGTTCAGCGTTGTGGCAAAAGTGTATAAAGTGTTGCCGCTTTTTTAGAGTAGGAATTTTGTTTTATGTTTTGATTTCTTACTCAATTTGATCATAATATAATATATATTTATAAATTGTATTCATAAATGCATATTAAATGTAGATTATTAGCTTTAAAAACTAATTATTGTTGTGTATTGTGATTGTGATATGCCAAAACAAATAAAATAGCTGTAGAAGCTGATTAGCTTTCATAAGATAGATTATATTGAAACAAGAAATAATGGCGGGACGTTTTTACTATTAAAACCCTAAAAGAGGTAAGTTGAAAAATTAGAATATATAATTTTGTATTAAAACGTTTTCTTATGTATTTTAATGTGTTGCAGTGGTCTTAAAACTAAGTGTATTTACTGTTAATATAATTGTTTGACAAAAAGTTGACATTTTAAAAATTCCTCACTTACTAACTATTCTGATGTTTTGGCCACGCTGTGGGGTTGATCGTTATGTTAGAATAAAATTAAACGTCGATTACAAGAGAGCGCTAAACGGTCCATATAAAAAAATAATTAGCTATACATCTTTACTAATAAAGTGTTAGAGCGCAAACCGACCAATTTCAGGTAAGGGCGCAAAAAGGTCGAGCGCATATCGGCCGACATCACAATTTTTTACCTTAATTTTTTTAATGTTTCATAATTTTCTGTACAGGAAACGTAAATAAGATCTTACTAAAATGCGATAAAGCATAAAAAAGTTTAAAAAAGATATACCTTTTCAAGACCCACCTTTTAGATTACAAATTATTTTTTATTTAAGCTACCATCTAATTGGAATACCTTGTATGAGCATACTGACTTATTTGATACATTTAACAGTAAATAGGCTTAAAATATACGTCTGCCTTATAAATAGAAAATGTACGTCTCCTTTCTTGCGACGTCATCATCAGTTAGTTAATCTATTCATGCTAATAGTGCATGTAAACGCTAATTAGCATTTAGAATCCGTAACACGTTAACAAGAAGAGAGTACTTAATACCTAATAGAAAGGAAGAACAGCATTAGGTGCAGCAAGAAGTTACTTATACATTTATCTTATTTTAGCACTAAAAGCAGCTGTTACTAATCCTTGCACGTATCAAGTCTCTTCTAATCCGATATTAAATCAGGACAACAAACGGGACCTCTGTGCACCTCTTACGTGGTTGTCTGGAAGTTTACAATAAGTTGAAAGGAAAACACCTACATAGGAAAACACTCAGGATTTTATATGTTTATAATATCGTGAGAAGTTTACCAAATAAACCGTAACGATAAAAGTACACAATTTGCTTTGATTTATCTTGAAGAATAAATGAACCTTTTTAACAACGCATATACGGCCAATTTCGATTATTGACATATAGTCTACCAAAATTTATTTATTTTAATTTAAGATAATATATGTTACAAAATAGAAATAAAGCAAATGCTAAATTTAAATAACTTAATTAAAAAGTTATAATAGTAATCAAAATTTTGTGGTCGGCGGACAAACGCCAAATTTGGACGAAAGTCCAAATTTGAGTTTTTCAGGAGCGATAAAAATCGAGTGTACGCGCATATTTAAACAATTAAAAAACAACGGTCTAAATTAAAATAAGCCCGATTACTCTTCACAATCTTGAAGTTGAATGTTTAAACTTCAATTTAGACACTTGGTAACTCAAAAATAATAATTTACATATGTGTTTTCAAGGCTCAAAAATGCGTATTTTCGCGTTTTTCAGACTTTAAATCGCTTATAACTCGAAAAACTATCAACTTTAGAGAAAAATGACTACAGACCTTTTTTGTTTAAAATGACCAAAAAAACCTAAAAAAATATTTTCAGATTAAAAAAAAAAAATATTTTTGGAATTTGTTTAAAAAAAAATTGTTTAAACAATTTCTGCCAAAAAATTTCGCCCGGGTACCCTTTAGATTTGTTTAAAGGGGACATTTTTAAACCGGAATCCGCGAAAAAAACCAAATCAGAAAACATTTTCCCAACGGGGAGCGGCCTCACAGCCTGGACTAATATACAATGCATGTATTATACAATTTGATTTTGATTGACTTGTCCAGTTAGGTACTGGCTGATTAGATATAATTGGAACTTTAAAAGGTAGTTAATACCCTCTTCTGTTGAAATCAATAGCCTTAAATGGGTTTTCTCTGTTAAGACAGTCTATGAATTGAATGACTGCCAAATCTTTCGTATATTGAAGCCATTTTTTGTCGATCCATCCAACTTGGTCGGTCTGTGTCTTTTTTACTGACAAGTACTACTTGTTAAAAATCAAGCAGGAAGACACGTAGTCCTAAAGGAATTAAAATTTATCCATTGTCATCGATCTAGAGTCACGTATTTGTCTAAAACTAAGACAAATCACAGAAAAGACCATCGAGTACAATAAACCAGCATATCTTTGTTTTATAGACCTGACAAAGGCTTTCGATCGCATCCAAGTTTAAAAACGTCTTACACCTACTGTATAAAAGACACATACCAATTAAAATTATATAAAACATCGAAAACATCTACCTCCATAATCGAATACAGGCAAAGATAAATGGAAAACTAACACAGTGTATACCAGGACAAAGCGGAGACAGACAGGGTGACTCGTTAAGCCCACTTCTCTTTAATATATTAATGGACGAAATAATACAAGCAGTACGTAAAAGTCATGGCTACAGATTGAACAACAAAGAAATCCAAATATTATTTTATGCAGACGACGCTGCATTAATCGCCGAGATAGAAGACGAGCTCCAAAGATTAACACATATCTTGAATATAATAGCTAAGAAATACAATATGACAATATCAGCAGAAAAATCCAAACGTATGACAACACCTAAATACCCACTACGGAGTAAAATCGAAATTGATGGGGAAATAATAAAGCGGGAAGCAAGGTTTAGATATCTGGAAATAGATATAACTAGTTACAGAGATGTTGAAGAAGAAGTACGACAACAAAGCTTAAAAGCAAGTAAAGC